TCGCGCACTCGACACGCACGATCTCCGCAGAGGGTTGCGCGGGCACCCGGCACATCGCACTCTCACCTGCATTTCGCGCACTCGACACGCGCGATCTCCGCAGAGGGTTGCGCGGGCACCCGGCGAATCGCACTCTCGCCTGCATTTCGCGCACTCGACACGCACGATCTCCGCAGAGGGTTGCACTTTCGGTTGACGCTGTTCGTCCCACCCTCCGCCTTTAAGAGAGAATTTATAGAGTGGGGAAATGTTTTTTCATTAGGACATCTCCCGTGCTAGTTTTCCATACTCAAACTTGCCTACTCATTGCATGCTTGCATACTCATTGCATGCTTGCATACTCATCACTTGCATACTTACACTTGCATACTTCCACTTGCATACTTTGACACTTGCATTGCATACTTTGCACTTCACTGCTTTCGCTCTTCCACTTACACAGGGCTACGTATAGCGTTCATGTTATCCTGCAAGTGTGGTGAAAGTGTCAATGTCTAAGTGTGTCTAAGTGTAAGTGTCGAAGTGTCAGTGTTCAAAGGATTTTCCGGAAGAACCCTTCGCAATGCTTTTGGGAATAAACCAAAACACAAAAGCAAAAAACAAAAAACAAAAACTTTGAGGATACTTTTTGATTCAGCTTTCTTTTGTTTCCCTTGTGTTTTTTGTTGCTTTCAAAAAACAAACACATTGTTTGTGTTTTTATTGTTGAAAAAAGACAGCCAAACACCAAAAAAACACAAGGTTTGTTTTGATTTTTGGTTCCCTAAACCAAAAAACACAAGGAAAACCAGAAACAATCTTTTGAGGCTGAGCCAACAAGTCTCCTCAAAATTTCGTGTTTTTCTTGTTTTTGGTTTCGTTTTTTGTTATTATTGTTTTTTTGTTTTGTTAGCTTGTTGTTTTTGCCATTGGGGATGTCTTTTTGATTTTTATTTTGTTTCCTTTCATTTGCTTTTGAATTGTGAAGCACCCGTTCTTATTTGGTGATTTTTTTACACAAAAAATATGGCTAAAACATCGCAAATACGAGTATTTCCTCAAACAGTTTATTGTTGGGGTCTATTTCAAAAAAGAGCTGGCCACACTGACTCGCCGCGCCCCTGAACTCTGTGGCTGCGTTTTGTTTCGGGCTCTGTTGCCGTGCCGGGCTCTGTGGCCGGGTCTTGTCCTCCTCTTGTCCTTCTCTTGTCCAGCTGTTGTCCTCCTGTTGTCCTTCTTGTCCTCTGGCCGCGCTGACCAGCCCTGGACACACTGACTGGGCGTCTGTGGCCGGGCTCTGTGACCGGGTTTTTTCCTCCTCTTTGTCTTCTGTGGTCCTGCTCTTCTTTTGTCTTCTCTTGTGGCCGAACAATTAGCGATGTCGACTCCGACAAAAATCATGGATTAAACAATTTGCTCTTTGGGCGGGAAGGTAGGGCGTACCAAGAGATCGTTTTTGATTAATATTGGTCCCAGCGAATCGTTTTGAAACTGCTGGTATATGTTTTTTTTGGGGAGGGTAATGGTGGTCCAAGAGCATGTGAGGACCCGTCCGGTCCACCGACTACGTCTGGAACATGCTCATAGTCTAGCGACCAAGATCACAACATGCCAGGTGCTAATTGACTATACCGGATGGACACCCAATGGCAAAATGAGTCTTGCCTGAACGATCACAAGAGTCTATGCCTTGTTTTGAAGCAGACATCTTCAGTCCTCGGTGTTTGTAGGCTAGTTGACGTTTCTGAGCCTTTTGGTCAGGATTGATAGCAGCAGAAATGAGAAGCGACTTGTGCGAGTCGACTCGGTCATGAAAGGATGGACTGAAGGAGTGTAGTTTCCTTTAGTGGAAACCGAAAGGCTTTGGGCAAACTAAGACAACATGCACCTGAGCATGGTGGGACATCTGAGGTTCGTGGATGTTCGTGTAAGCCTAGCCCCCAAAGGAGATTCCACGCGACAGGAATGAGGCCCTCATGCTTGCGTGAACTGCCAACATAGATAAATCGCAATCATATGCGTGCCAGTTTTGGTTGTGGAGTTCTTTTTTTTCGCATTTTTGGCACAAACCCACTTGCAGCTCACTGTGCACAACACATATGGAATACATAGTGGTAGAACGGCCGTGGCCCTGCCAATAGCACAGATGCGAAAATCCTGTAAACTGCCTGTTAAGATTGATAGCAAAAAACCTTGTCAACCAAAGCCGACTGCGCACAGCCCAGCCCACTGTTCTTTGGCTTCTCCTCTTTGTTTGTTGTTTCTAATTCCACAGTTCCCTGTTTCTATTTAGTGGTATACTTATACCAAAATGGAGTGCGGATGAAATTGAACCAATCTGCAAAGTAGATATTATGAAAACTCTTCTCCGCTTTGCTTGCCAACTTTAGGCTATGACAACAAGTGGCTGTGCTTACCGACATCTCCTCCTTCTTACATCCATGTTGACCACTCAGTTGCCGACATCACATTGTTAGGTACAATGGGTCACACAGAATCCAATCGAGTAGATTTCAATCTAATGGGAGGTTGGGGTGAATGCAGGCATCTCGCTTTCCGACTTGGACTTGCTTGCCTGGCAGTTGAGTTTTGGTTAGAAAGCCATGATAGAACCCAAGCACACACGGCATGTGTTTGCATTTAGACACATATTGACACTGCTGCAACAGAGTTTCCTCTACGGATCACGCAGGACTGCAAATGATGGCACCTGGTGAATCTCGACGTTTTTGGATCCCCCCAGATCTTGCATTTGGCAGCAATGAGACAGACACTTCGCACGCAATTCCGGCTTCGGTGGTTTGCTGGATACAAATTCAGAGTTGCATGAGTATTGGCAAATGCCAAGGCGACCACAAAGCCAACTGGGCCTTTGGTGTTTGACATAGAGCTATACTCAATTCAAAGGCGGCTCGGGTGTTTAATTTTAGGTGTTTTTTTGTTGTTTGTAGTGTGCCAGTGGGATTCAAAGCTTTGGTGAGACTGATGCAAGGAGAAAGCTGGTACCCTTGAATTAGCTCTCTGAACTCAGCACCTGACGTTCAACATTCGGCATTTAAGGCTTATATTTCTTGTGCTGACACCTCTTGTTCTGAAGAGCCTCAAATTCAACACTCACAGGTACTCGAGCTGTTTTTTAGGCAGGGTTGCATCTAATCTATATGTATATAAACACCTGACAGTGTTCAACAAGTTCAGGGCAAGACTGTTTTGATCACAGAGGTCGTATAGATAGCCGGGAGAGCATGGTGGAGAAGAACATGCAGATAATACCAAGACGCAAAGACCCAAGACGCATGTATGTTTGTGCTCAGAAATAGAAGGGGTTGGCCTGTGACTGCTGAGCTTTTAAAGTCCTTTGCTGATTTGCCAGGCAGCCGAAGCCACCGGCAGAGATGCTAGGATGCACTATGAGCAGAGAGAGAGAGAGTGAGTGAGTGAGAGAGAGAGAGAGAGAGTGAGAGAGAGAGAGAGAGTGAGAGTGAAAATGAGGTTCTAGCCATTGGCAGCACGTCACTCATGCCACATGCCTTCTCACGAGCCTGTTCAGCCTGAGGCTCTCAGCACCACCCAATGATGCTGCCGCACCCTCTGGTCTTGGGGTTGCTTGCTGGATGTGTGGGAAGATACAATCAAGATCGTGCACATGGAGCTTAAGATGCTGTTTTTTTGCTGAACCGCGGTAAGTCTACTTTCGTGTTTTGGGCAGGCTAGGTCTGCAGGTTGCCGGCCTCTCTCTCTCTCTCTCTGGTTAAAAGCCCTGTCCAGGGGCTGCTCATGATACATGAGAATCTTCATTTGCAAGGGAGGCTGTTTTCCTGGGTCACTGGCCCTCTCCAGGGATCTCGTGCTTCTTGTGTCCAGGGCGCCGATCCGATTGGCTGATTGGCTAAGAAGATGGTCTCTCTATGCCCCATATGCCTCTATGCTTTCTGCTTTCTTGTTTGTCTTGAGTCTACAATCTCATTTTGCTAGCTGGTTTAGCTGCCAGGAGACAACTTCCAGCGGCTTGGCGTTCCGCAAGATCAAGCCAGGCGAGATGGATACCTGCATAACACTGCAACATGCTGTTTGGTGTGTTGTGCTTTGAAGGCACTGGAAAAGAACGCCCACAATTGGAGACGAAACTCGGAGTGGTAAGATCATGCGGGATGAACAGTTGGTGCATGCCAGTTCTGTTCTAAAAGGTTTGATGGCTGTTCAATATTCATGCAGGAATGTGACGGCTTTATACAATGGTTGGGCTTCCAATGGCGACTTGGTGCTCTCAACATCATTTGGCGCTCAAGACACCTTCCTTGTCCGGGAGGACGGGCTGGAGGGGTTTGATTCTCTTGACAGTAAATTTTGTGTCATATCACAAGACTTGTGTCTTGGATTCGCAGGTGCCCATTGAAGGCCTAAAGGAGGCCTTGCAACTCATGGTGGAAGGCACAATGCATTGGCAGAGCTCGACTCATCCCCAGTCATCTCTTCAAAGTCACTGAACAAACAACGACGCTCGAAGTGACGAAACTGATGCTGGCTGGAGGTGAGACTCGTCGTTTCTGGATTCCTGGGAAGCTTGGATTTGGAGCGACAGCTGACGAAAGCCGAGGATTGCCACCAGGACGGGCGGTTTGCTTTGTGGAAAGACAGAGAAAGAGAAGAAGATATTGCCTTTCTTTGCCATTGAAGCGTATTCACACTAATTACACTGGGCTCAAGGTCTTTTGGTCTTTGATGTGCGACTCATGAGCATAAACAGCTGAAGTCTGAGTCCTTTACCTGGACCTGCATGCACTCATCTCCTAAGTGACCGCCTGGAGTCACCTTGCAGTCTCTCTGAGACTCTGTATATATTTGATTTATTCAATAGACCATAGCTTCATAGCTTCGTTCAGACAACTTCAAGACCAAAATGCTGGTAAGATAGAAAGAAAGAGAGGTTTGCGGAAAATCAAGACACACTAGTCATCCACTAACCAATAAGCTACTGAGTCACAGAACTGATGCCACCGGCTGTGATCTTAAGGCCGCAACCCTTGCCCTCAGAGGCAGAGCGGGAGGTTGAGTAGATTAATGGTTACACTTCGAGGTGTTTTCAGAGCGCAGAGAAGAGCCCATGTGCACATGGAAGGCAATGCCCATTGTACTGTGGGAAAGACCTCCAAAGCCTGCGGGATGGTCAGCCATATGGGAGGCAAGGTCCGGTTAACGCAAATGATGCGAGCAGATCAACTATGATGGTGTGTACCCTGCAGGTGTTACCCCCACCACCACCTCCACCTTTGGGTCAAGATGGGCCTGCACCCCAGCTTGGTCAGATTAGTTGCGCATGAGCATCTATTTTCAAGACACTGCTACAGAGATCCAGGATACTGTCATGCCGAATCCAAATTACCCTGACAGCTTTTCGGACCAAGGGTTTGGATTTGGGTGCCAGAAGGCGAAGAAGCACCAGTTGGCGGAATGGTTCCTCATGAGGGAGCCTTTTTGCCATGCGTAGATGTAGCCTGGCACTGAGGAACTAGATACAATGTGCAGGTGTACAATTGCTACTGATGTGAAAGCCGAATCTAGTGTTTTGCTTGAACCAAATTCCCAAGCACTTTGCTCCCACTTCGAGTGAATTCTCAGGATGACGATGCAGAAGCTGGCCTGCCGAGCAGCACAAGTTTTGGAGGCTTACTCAGTCAGGGGAAACTGCCATCCTTCCAGATTTGTCTAGAATCCAGTTGCAGCTCCACTTGACTTGGCCTGTAATTTCCTTTTGCGCTTGTGAGCTCCCACAAAACGCAGCCCACCTCTATTGTCGCACTCCCCCATCCGTATGGGTTGCTGTGCAACATGCAAGTTGCTAGTGCCGATTTGTGTGGGTGCTCTTTATGTATACTTATATAATATAGTATATACTTGCCTTTCTGAGGCAGCCCAAAAGAGCACTTAAGATTCTCAGGACCTTGAAATTGGTAACACTGGGTAGAATGGATTCGCAGCATCAACTGGAAATGAACATGTGATTGGTCTTATCATTGTGCTTGTTTTCTGGTCAGTTGACAGATGTCCCCAAGAAGGGGTTGCCAGGAATTCGGAAACCTTTTGTTGGGGTGGATTCTCTTGTTGGTGTTCTAGTTGTTCGTTGCTGTTGTTTGTTCTTGTTTCTGAACACATATATTTTTTGAGTCTCCTTTCTTTAGCTCGAGCTTATTCTATGTTGTTTTCACAGTCGGAAGTTGATGAGAAGGGTCTGAAGTGACCGAGGCTTGGGTGCTACCGATGTTTTCCACGTTTGACTCGGTCTTTTTCCACCCCGTGATAGCTTTTCAACTATCTCAATATAGTCCTGAAGTGTCACATAGGCCTTCTGTAGGGAGGAATCCAGGGGGTATTGCCACGGGGTATTTGCAAAACCTTAGATGCCTTGGACTTGCGATCCCTTGCGGCAGGCTTTGGGAATGTTCCCATTCAGGCGTGTTCGTGCAACTGTCCCCTAGCTGCCAACATGGCGAGCTGCACTGTGCTACTTTCCCAGGCTGCAGCTGAAAGCAACATGTGCCACGACAAGCTTCCAGCTACAACAGTCAGACGCCGAGGTTTTGTTGCGACTCATGTCAAGAACGCATGCAAACGGAGCAAATCATGCTACGGCATATTGGTTGCTGGACTTAGGAATTGGTTGCGACAGGCCAACCAAGCGCTTGAGAAACCAAGTGCAACACATTTCAGAAACCTTCCAGGCCCAGAGAGTATGCAGATGATGCAAGCTGCCCTGCCAACCACAGTCCGGAGCTTTGAACAGACTGTGAAAACAAGAACTCTCTCAACTTGTTAAAACCTCTGCGCTTTTAACAAGCCTTGATGACTGGGTCAAGGATATGGTCCAAAGCTATTCGCAGGCCTGGGCAATCGTGATGTGATGGAATCATTCCACCATGCTAATATAGTCAAATTTTGGGAGAAGAATTGAATTGCAATGCCTTGCCAGAACCTGCTTCAGAGTGGAACGACGAGCACCCAGAAGCCTCAGTGCGGCTAAGGGTGAATTGGATTTGCATGCTGAGGTCAGCCTTACCCTCTTCCAACGCCAAAGGTGGGGCACCTTGAACAAGCTTTGTCACAGCCTTTGGACAAACTTCCTTGTGATACAGACGCGTTTGGCCTCGCAGCAGACCTGGCCTCAGATCAGCAGTGAAGAAACATCTAGATCGCCTGCTAAAAGCAGCCAATGGCGTGCGCAAATGCTCAGAGCAAGCAGTTTGTTTTTGGAATTGGCCCAAGCCCATTGGTTTCCAAAGCTGCTTGTAGCATCTAGGAACGCGAAGCCATCCTTGTCCGCTTTCCATGCACCCAGGGACTTCCTTCTGTTAGTTGTGCTGTCTCATGCTGTGCAATGCTTGCATCTTGAGTCTTGAGGATGGCATGCCGAAGAGTGCTTCTTTGAGCCCCAACCAGTATCCCAGCCATCAAAGCATTCCAGAGGTGGATCGACAATGAATCCGGTCAGGGGATAGGATGATGTGGCGCATCATGATTCTGCTTGTGGCATTGTTTTTTGACAACCTTTGCGCTGATTGAATGCTGGAATATTCATGCCTGCTAGGCTTCAGGAGAGAGGCCCTCACAAGGGCACGCACCGCAGGTGGGAGACGCGGCATGTGAGTCATCATGCTTCTTGCATGAGCTACTGGACAGCAACCTAGAACTGCACAGGGAACACAATTGCTTCATTGGTAATGGTCACCCAGACTAGTCAAAAAGGCCAACACAACCTGCCACCTCAACTTGCTCTATACTTCCTCCCAGTCGTTTCATCTATTCCTCATTATACACAATGCCAAAAGCAACGCTTTGCAAGTGCAAACAGGTTTGGAATCCCTTCCCAACGCAGACCACTGCCATTGATCCTCCTGTGGAGCAGGCGATTGGGTTCACTTGAGTACTGTCTCACCCAACCCTGGTATGCGCCACACATTCGTTGCAATTCTAAGCAGTCACATCGAATTCTCCGTTGCAGGCATGGAATCCGTGGGCAAGCAGCAGCCCAAGTCTTGAGCAGAACACACGCAGCAGACCAACAGGATTGCACAGATTTGAGTGACATTTTCAGACAGGTGAAGGGGATGGCCCGTTCCGACCTCATCCTTTGATCAGCCAACTGCAGGGCCAATTTGTCAGCTTTCGAGGTTCAGCAAGTCCTTGCAGGAAACGCACAGGACTTATTCTGAGTTTGCTGAGCACGTTTGCAACTCAATCAACAATCCTGAATCAGCACCAGCAGCAGATCTTGCTTGTATTCTGCTTGTCCCACACACTGGAGATGGGAAGGAGAATCGTGGGAGACATTGGAGCGTTCAACTCGGACGACTGGAGGCTTGCATGTTGGAATGTACTGCCAAGAAGTTTGCAGTTGTCATTCAGAAAGAGAGAAGATGGATGCTTTGCAACGGGTTTGTTGCTTTGTTGTTGCGTGGCTTATGGCTTATGCTTTATCTTACGCCGTACGCATTCTCCTCAATTTGCCGTGGGTTTCAACTGCAAGGTCAAGTGCCCCAACACCTTCCACAAGATCTCTGCAAGTGCCTGCACCGCCTGCTGCTTCTTGGAATGGATCCTGCGGACTGCAAAACCAAAGCTGCTCTCAGCTTCCGGCTCAATTGTCTCATTTGTCACCCTTTGGCTTGGAGGACAAGGGCTTCAAATGACCTTGGCTTGCATTTTTGCAAGCAGTTCTCCCTCCAAAAATGTGCAGGATTTCAATTCCTTGGAGAGCACCTCATTTTGGCAAGTGCAGTCCTGGCCTCAGAGTGCCAGCAGTACAGACATTCCAGACTCTGCAAGTCTTTGCTGTGCACTTGAAGCTCTTACGTTTCCTTCGGTTCCTTCGCAGGCCTTCGGTTCCTTCGGCTCCTTCGTCGCCAGTGCAGAGTGCTCAATTCGTGCCGAGTGCACATGTAACAGAGAAAAAAACATCTTGCACAGTGAGGCAACAAGTTGGAAAGACTTCAATTAATCAGTATCATGCATTTGTTTTGCATGCTTGAATTGGAATGCTTGGAACGGCCAGGCCCAATAGCAGATTAAACCAGGCCTGCTGGTCACAATTCATCGACTGGAGTGTTGCGGGATTGACAGGTGTTGCAGAATTCATAGTATGCTGCTCCAGACTGTGAGCACAAGCAGGACTGCTGCTGTGAATGCACGAACGCGATTGCTTGTGATCAGGCTCCCGTAGGCATCACCAGCCAAGGCCTGTTACGGGAAATGTCTCAGACGATTCGATTCTATTTATGTTTGCTAGAATTTTGAATTCTTTCAACAAACACTGTGTCAGCAGTGCAGCTTCTTTTCTCTGGGGACTTCGGTGCAGGCTCTGCGCCTGGCAGAAAGTCAGGGCCGTCTGTAGGCTCCGGCAGTCAGGGATTTTTGATGCCCAGCTGCATTGGCCAACAACCAAACTGTTGCGATGCGTTTGAAATGAATCCATTCCCTCATGTCAGGTGTGAAGTCACGAGTGGTCCTGCAGTCCCAGTGTCTGTCTATGATGCCAAACACCAAGGACATCAACAAGTGATGGACTGGAGGTGTGTCTGCCGGCACTCATGAAGTCCATCGGTCCCTCAAAACTGCTTGAATTTGTTAGACATGCTGCCCATCTTTCTTTGCATGGATTTCAGGTGCTTAGAAGGGTAGCTTGTGATGGGGCAACTGAGCTGCTCCTGTATTGGTTACGCCATCATTCCAGAAACACACTTGAGCTTGCTTTATACACAGAGCCCAAAGCATGCTGCTAATGCTCGATGCCAAATCTGCTCCCAACCCTTGTCAGCTTCAACCATTGCTTGGTACAAGGAAACTCTGTGCGCGCTTGAAAGTGTGCGCTCCCGTACTTGTCATAGGTGACATATCCCGTTGGCCCCTTGATCCCGTGAGAGGCTGAGTGTTTTCATTTTGTTTTTGGAGTTTGGCGCTTAATGCTTTGAGAGGAAAGCTCGAGGCACGTGCACGTGCGTTTGAATCCATTGGGTAAGGCACTCGCAGCTCCGAACGAGTGGCCCTATGCAGACTCCTGGCACCTCAGGCGTGCACTTTTGGGAAAACGGGCCCTCGGCCATCGCCTTGTCTCTTTCAGGTCATCAGCGGCCATCCTCGCCCAACTTGCATGTTTGTCAACACTTGCAGACAGCTTTGCATCATGGAGGTGTTTGTCGTTGGCTGGCTTGTATTTGTCACAGCTAGGATTCATGCGGGAACTGCTGGGCCACCCCCTTGGCCACTGCCACATGCAGGCAGCTGGAAGTCATGACAGGTAGCCTCAGTTCACTTGGCTTTCACAAGGTCAACTTTGAATTGAAGGAGCGTGAGCTATCCTGCATCCTAGGTAGTGGCGTTCTTGTAGCTACTACCCCCTGACTCGTGGTCTTTTTTGTTTAATTTGGGCCTCTAAGATGAGATTCCTTCACTTACCATTTGTTCATGGTGCAAAAAGAACATGTGCGTTCACGTTTTCCAATTGAAATAGTTCAGGGGACACTCGACTGCTTTCATTCCTTAAAAAGTAGATGTCATTCATGTCACTTTCCCCATTTGACCTACTCGCAGAAGTCCTCAGCTCACGAGCTGGCAAGAATTACAATTATAGGCAGGCGCAATCGGACTATCAGATTGCCACCAGAAAAGGCTCTTGTTTTGCCGCTGTGACCATGTCGAAACTCCCGCAATTGCATGCAGGGTGTGACATTAACATCAACCCTGTCCAAAGTGAAGTGATGGAAAGACGGTGTGCAAATCCAGCATCCTTGATGCCAAGAAGAACACCTCGTTGGTCAACGAAAGTCAACCAAACAGGACAAACAGCCTTCCAAAATTAATAGGCCTTTGAGCCAAGCAAATCAAGTCATTGTGACTTGTTTTGGCCACGGCTGATGGGCTTGGCTTGTCTCTCACATAAACGCTGAACACTGCACAAGCCCCAGCGCAGCTGATATCATAAGGATTTCCCCGCAAAGCCAGCACCGACAGAATGCAGCCCCTTCCATTCACTACATGATGAGGCCTTCTTCTGCTACTTCTTCTTCTTCTTATTGTGCTGCTTCTTCTTGTTCTTCATCGTCTTCTTTTTCTTGAAGCCTTTTGAAGGGAAGGGCACCGAGGCCAATGCACACGATGCTAATATTGCAATGTAATCCCGCACGCGTATCTAGCATCATCAGAGCCCATGTTGGGCACATGTTCACAAGATATATATATATATTTTTTTTTGGTAGCTTCTAAAACAACGTCAAACACATGAGAAATGTACAAAGAAGACAAACTAAAGCTTATGCTGCTGCTGCTGCTGGCTTGCTGGTCTGCTGGTCTGCTGGCATCTACAAAAACCCTCCTAAGTTTCGTCCACCTCGGGCCTGTCAAGTTTCAAGACCGAAATTGTTTAGAAGCGAGTCTGTTCCCGGTCTGCAGAGGTTTGCCTACTCCCCGCGTCCAATTGCCCTGGCCCAATTGCGCAAGTGATCAATCAGCGCAAAGTGTACCACCAGTATAATATGATATAATATGCATGTTTTGTGCATTTGGAATATCAGAGCCCTTGTAGCAAGCAAATTGAAAATAAGGTTGGATGTGACGGGTGCCGGCGTTCCTTCTTCTTGTGGAGTTAGAGACTGAATGGGCTGAAAGCGTGTTGCTCCTCCTTGTACGAGAATGCTTGTGAAGTGAGGTTGGAAGGCTTGGAACTTAGATGAAAGAGGGTCAAAAACCTCGAGCTTTAAGCAAACACCAAAAAGCAACACCTGCACTGACCATGGAACCAGATCTGGACAGAGTGCAGATACTGTAGCCTCTGCAGTTTCTTGATGTTTGGGAAAATAGAAGGTTTTGTTTTCCAACACAAAACAACAACTGCACAGACCCTGGAGCCAGACCCGGACAGACATGATGAAGCTGCCGCAATCATCAAACTTGGTTTGACAGGCAGGTGAATTTAAGAAATTTCAGAAGCTCTCCCCTCTCCTCTGACTTTTAATTGCCAGTTCTTCCGCTCGCCTGTTTCTCCAAGGTTTGACTTCGATGTGCCCGGATCCTACTCCATGCGTTTTGCTTTCATGTTTTATCTCCGTGTCAGAAACATGGACCAGTTTGGGTTAAAAAAAGCCACCAGCATCTTTTGAGACCTACAAAACATTTGACAAATTGCCAGGATCCATTTTCACGTGATCCTTTTGAGGCTTGGACCCATGCAGCCACGCTCTGGTGCCGTTGGCTCAGACATTGAATGACAGTGGTGCTAAGTGTGTTTGGGGTTCCTCTCCTATCATTGAAGAACACCTTTCAAAAGGTAGTCATCCGAAGCGAAGCTTTGAGGCAACTTGGATGAACGACCCCAAGCTTGCTCAGATGCTCGCGGCTCTGGCTATCACTATCTCATTGTTTGTCACTAGCGACCAACGTCGCATTGGACAAATGTATCCTGTGTAGGTATCGAGGTGCTACACGCCTAGGCTTTGATCCATACTGAATCCATACTCTTCAGTTGTTCCGCATAGGCCTGTTGCTCAAGTCGCCGAGCGAAATCGTCATGCTCCGCCAGTACTACTGGTGCTTGCCTCAGCAAGACCTTGGAGGCTTGCCCTTGGAACAGCATGAGAACACTCAATGGATCGATCGACTGACATGGATTGGCTCAAATGGATCAGATGCTGATGATACAGACGCAGCGGTTATTCTGTGTCAAAGGACAAGTATGAAGCAGAGAGATCGTTCCTTTGGAGCAATTAATCAGGGTGTGTGTACAAAGAAGTACAAAAGTTGTAGCATACATGTTGAATTGTGTGTATTGTATGTATGTATATATATGTAGTTATATGACAATATATCACCGCGTCCGTCGATAGGTAGATGACATACCAAGCAGACGGAGCATTGTCAGCCTGCACCGTTGTCCCACAAACTGGAATTTACGTGGCGACATATGATACAAACATAGCCTTTGTAACACAATTGTTGTAAGTATTGGACAGTGACTAGATAATGAAGAGAACAAGTGGCGCGGCATATTTGGCAGAGCGGGACAAAGCCTCACAGCCGGCTGCTAAACCAAAAGTTGGTTGGGCAGCGAGAAGTTTTGGTGACTTTCTCAAAGAGCCTGCACCAAAGAAGCCGCTATTTGATCCACTGCTTTCCTCACTATGTGAGAATGGTGCTGTTCTAGCAAATGTTACAACAGATGACATGGGCAAGGAAAAAGCTGCAATGCCCAAATGCACCTGGTGGCAATTCCCGGCGAGTGGGGCACCTTTGAGACAGGATGGAGACTCCATGGATTTATCAGAGCTGAAAGGCAGGGGGGGTACAGCAACACGGGCTGCTTGATAAATGGAGCCAAATTTAGTAAGCAAGTGTTGTGACCTGAAGTGCTCAAACTCTGGCGGTTGAAGATGCCACTGTTGCCCATGTCAACATGTAAAGAAATCCTTTGCATTTTCCAATTTTCAGGCTGGCAGGTTGCCGTTTGACTTTTGACAATTGTTAATGTTCAAACCTGCGACCCTGAAAGGTGTACCCTTAGTTGCCTTAGTAGCACAGCTTGCAGCACGGGAGACCATCAATGACGCATCTTCAAACCAAGGATTTACCACTGCGAAGGGTCCCTCACCCTGGTCAGCCAAGTTGTTACAAGGTAAGACCGAGCTGTTGCGGCTTCGGAGGCCTGAAGGCCTCAGATCCACCGGAGTTTGGCTCATCGCCACTATTCAGAAAGAAGGAAATACTTGGAAAGCTGAAGCCATTGATGAACTTTATCCTGAAAAGCGCCTCGAAGCTGTTCTGTTGCTACGCTTCAAAGAATTTATCGAGAAGAAAGAGGAAAAGCAGGAGGAGGATCCAATGGAGGCGACTCGCAGGATGTTGGCAGAGGCAATGGCCTAGATTGACCGGCTTTCCGGTCGGAAGTTTTGCGAGTTACAAAGAGACGATACCAATGTTAGATAGCATAGCAATGACATGCATGTGGCACGAATTAAATGTCAGATAGACTGGTGTCGATTGTCCGATGAATCTATCTTGATCCATCGGGTTGCAACCATTGTGCTTTATGTGCAAAAAGTTATTAGTGTCATGTGGGTACTTCTTAAGCTTCTGTCCGTACGTGATCTATGCGCTTGACTACAGTCTCCATGTGTGACTTGACGTATGACGTTTGTTCGGTTGGCTGGATGGAAAGAATGGAGGTAGTCCTGTCAACTGTCGATTCGGTGGTTTTCGATTCAATACCTGAGCTTCCTTCAGCCAACTTTGGAGCACCGACACGGTCGTGTGAGCAATGGCCGTGTGCTGGCTCCAAGGATGTGACAGGTGGCCATGTGTTTCCTGATGACTGAGCCAGGGCAGCCAGGGTCAAGAACAGTATCCCACCTATTTGCTTGCCCAAGGTTTTGTGGGGACGTTATTTGCTGCGATTCCATTTCGGCTGGCATGTTTCACTTTGTTGTCCCTCCCTATATGGGCAGACCAGGGGTGTGAATAGATGCCGCTGGCAAGGTGCAACTTTGTTTACGATTGGCCAAAGACAGCCAAGAAAGGTCACGAGTACATCTAAGGAAAAAGACTTGTCCTCATGGCTGTCACAAATTGCGGTTGCGGCAGGTTGCAAGCAACACGCCTCGTTTAGAAAAAAGTGCTGCATACTGTCCAATGCTCAACTGCAGTGCTCAGATAATGCATGAATAGAATCTACTTAGCAATGTATGTTCCCTCACATACCTCTCAATATGAGATACAGCAGAGTCAGGAAAGATTGACAAGCAATCAATACACGTTCTTTTTCTACTTGTTGCCGACGAGGATTATTTGTTCCGATGATGGTTGTAGTTATATAGCATAACAGGCCGGGAGTTTAAGGGAAAAGCTGAATTTGAATAGACTCCATGTTGTATAGCTCGTACTTGAATGTTAAGAGGAGTAACAGGCTGCTTTGTCACAGCATGAATTCAACCTTGAGCTCCAGCCCATGATGCATCTGGGGCCCTACCCTTGATAAGCAATCGGACTTCAAGTGACTTCAAAAGTTCGAAACAACACACTGTCAGGCCCCCCGTCCAGGTGTTTGGCAGAGCACTTCCGGTACACTGGACACAGGCCTCATTCTGATTCACGACACCATACTCAGCAAAGTGAGCGGGGTTGGATAGGTGAGATCACGTGAAGCTTTCCAACTCCAGCAGAGTCCTCAGGATAAGCATCGTGGGAATCAACTGTGAATTTGTCCTGAGTACTGACGTGAAGCTTCTTTGTTCTTAAGGCGTGGGAGTTGGAATTTGCAGCGGCGAGCTACCAAAGCCCAAGAGGCTGGGCGAACATATGCATTGTTTGATGGCTTTGTCTTGTACAAGAGCCTTGCAGGTTGGCAAGGTCAAGGAAAATGCCTTACCATTGCGCTTTGTTCAACTGCGAAGAGGCGGTCCCATAGCGTGGCACTTGTTACTACTAGCGATGCACTTGTTACTAGTAGCTTCTTGTTACTACTAGTAAGGCACCTGTTACTACTAGCGTGGCACTTGTTACTGCAAAGAACGGATCATGTTCTCCAGCCCCACTGCCAGGACAGAAAGTCGCGGCGGTGTGTGCATTTCTTGCTTCCCTCGCCGGGCTCGTCCACCTGGTTCTCCAAGCCATTTCACCCCACCAGTCTAGGCCGGACAGGGACCAGTCTAAAATACAGGCCGTTTTTAGTTTTCTTTTTTTGGCAAGGGGCCCACCAGGAAGTCCCAAGAGTTCCAGTTTCAAACCATCTACCAGCTAGGCCTATTGGGTTTTTGCATGTCGCAGGTGGATTCTAGGACGACGCCCGGACGGAGAAGCTCTTGTAGCTCTGTCATCGTTTCTTTCAGCGCATCCATTCGAGCCTTGGAGGCGTTTGCATGCAGGTAAACAAAAGGGTCTATGTAAACAAAAGGGTAGTAGCTTCTTGCTACGAGTAGTAATGCCCATGGAAAGGGCTTTATAAACAAAACGGTAGTTGTCTATGTTCTATGTTCCATTGAGCTCTTTTGTGGCTCCTGTCAGGAATTTCCTGGCCTTCTTTGGGCCAGCAGCGCAACTGCAGGAGCCTGCGAGGCAGCAGCACGTGTAGGGTGCAGCAAGAACTATCGCACTTTGTTTGGTGCTCAGTGCCCAGGACTGGTTATAGTTCCTTCTTGACTGTACACTCCTACAGCGCTGTCATGCACTGTCTGAGTCTGAGGTATATATCCCTGATGCTGGCTGGTCTTTGCTACTTGTTTGATGAGCCCGTGCCCCATAACTCGAGCTGACTGAGCTGTCAGACTGGTATTTTCACCTACATTCCAGGTCCGCAGTGGCCCAGCAGATCAGGGCACTCGCAATTTTTGGACCCACAGGAGCAGTTTTCTTTGCGGCCTATGTTGTGCTTGCACCTCAGACTTGAAGCTATTCAGCATAGCGCCACACGCTCAGTCACACAGATTCTGCAACCTGGAGACTCTGGGCCATGGAAATTCCAGTAGAAACTGCTAGAATCCTTCAACCATTTTCACAGTCCACAGCTTGTGGCTTCTTGTTTGAAGCCGACATTCTACTCGAACAACATGGGCGTATCTTAGGAAGCAACCTTCTTTTCTTACGTGGCTGTTGGGCCTGTCCATTCATCGCACAGCAGGACTTGTTCAACATTTTATCTATATCTGACCCAGGTACATGGGGTTGGACTGGCTGAGCAACGGTGTGAGTATTTCAGAGGCAGGTCTTGTAGTGCCAGCGTTACTACCATGTTTTACAGGGGCTGCCAGTTCTTTCATGTGCAGATAATGTGCAGGTAGTGGTCGGCCTCCGTTCTTCACGAAGTTTCGGACTTCCTCGTCCATGGCGTCTCTCAGGATCGAGGTGCCTCCCATAAATCAAGCCTTGAAACCGAAAGAAACACCAGACAAGCTGAGGCTCCTGCCAAAGCTGTATGCCCTCGCGGAGGGCATGTGCTTGTTGGAGATGAGCAGGTCCCGGTGTCGCAAGACCCAATGCTATGGGCATGACAGTCTATGGGATTGTACAATGGTGTTTGCCCTTTTTCATTGAAAACACGTTTGTATTTTGGTCTCTCTACTGCACACTTGCCCAGCCAAACAAACAGTAGAGAAGAATGCGAAGCAGTCACATATGTTCTATCAACATCAAAACCTACGGCTTACTTTGCAACTTTACAATCTTCAAAGCAGGATTTTTGCCAGAAGCACTCTCATGAGATTAGACGGTTGCCATGGCAGCAATGAATCCTCACTTCCTGGAGGCGCTGGTGTGCGAAACTATTCCGGTCATTTGAAGTTCAACGTGTCGGCACTTTGAAGTTCCTGGTTCAAATGTTTAGCGTTGGTTCAAGAAGTGCTTTGGCTCAAGAAGACATGGCAAGGAAACTCAATGTTTAAGTCTAAGTTTGATTTGTTTCTTTCTACTTTCTGTGGTTTTGTTCATACCGAGCAAGCAGGCAGGTACCACATGAGACCCACAAAAAAAAGACCGCAGCACTGCTTTCAGATGCTGCTTTGCCAGCATTCCTGCGCGCCACTTGCTATGGGTTCTGGTGCAAGTTCTGCTCAACAAGGAGCACACTGACAAAGTCTGCCGGAAGAGAGGTGATTGGTGGTAAGTGGTAGTTTTGACAGTCAGACTGGCAACGCTGGTTTCGAACGGCACAGACACAAAGCTTTTAAAGGACGTTTCCCGCAGTCTTTCGATCATTAATCGGGATTTCCCATTTCCTTTGCATGAAATGCTGGTGTTTCATCGTGCTTTTTCCTGCTATGTAATGCCAATTATTGCCTTTTCGTCAAGCTCTTTTGAACATCCAGGGCCAGAAAACTTGCGCGTGGAACGTCCGGAACGTGTGGACCGTGTGGACCGCGTACCTTCGGCACCGCTGGCGAGCACCTCAAGATGATCCAGCAACATGCGGAAAATGATGTAAAACCAAGTAGAACACTACTGTATGTGTGCAGTTTGGTCCAACACTAAGGCTGTTCCTGTGGCAGCTGTGGGACGTGAGCCACGCAGCAAATCCTCATCAAAGGACATTGATGTGTATTGGCAGCATGGGTTTGCTTCAACCGAAATTCCAATAGAAGCTTGCAGTAAAGGCCATTGCGAGAGATTTGACGAGGTCCGAATCGAAAAACAAGCTGAGAAAATACTTTAACGTTTCAATTAATCCAGAAGTGCGATTCAACCCAGTGACCTGCATGACCCAATAGAACTTCGTATCGCTTGGTAGTATCGCTGTGCAGGCTCTTCAGTGCCACTGTTGGTTGTTTCCGATATTTTCAATCCAAGGTGCCAGGAAGCCGTCAGATAACTGCTCTTTGTTTGCACTTGAGACAAGTTGCAGTTGTTTGATTGGCTCAGACTGAGTGACGTTTATCCTGGCCTCTCAAGGCTACTCTCACGAGGCAAGGGAAGTATGGCCTGACCCTAGTTTGCATTAACAAGATTGGCAGGCTCGTGTTTCACTGTGGCCGGGAGTTACCAATCATTCGAACTTGACAGTGGAGAGGGGCGTTTGTTTGGCCAAGTGCCAGTGACCGCAGCATTTGTGCATTTGCACAAAGTTGAAGGACTTGCTGTGACTTGCTCTTTTATTGTCATGCAGTTTGCAATTTGCCCTCACTTCCCATCCCACTTGAGCCCTAACGAAGCACCATCTTCCCAGTTGCCCAACATAATGATCACATGTTGGAAGTTGGAAGTATGGTTGAAGGTTAGAGGAAGGGTTGGTAAGCCAGTCACCCCATAAAACTTAGCGTTAAGTTTTCATATGAAATAGTCCATTTGGAGTGAGATGTTGCACATTCTTGCAAAACGAAGCCAGACACCTGAAAACAAAACCTCTTGGTGGGATGCTTGCATGTGTACAGTTCTGAGTTGCCGTGTACTAAAGTATCCTTTTTTGAGTTGGAACGTTCAAGCTGGGAAGCCCCGATCGTAGCTTTGTTGTGTTTCCTGCAGATTTTGGACTCTCTTGCACGTTGCTTTCGATGACCTTATCTTGAGGGTTTGGAGCGTATGAAATGGGGTGTCTTAGAACGAAGCCAAAACGAAGCCCCAAACGAAGCCGAAATCCACGAAAAAGTGTCCTTTGTAGACCCTGGCCGACATCAGATTGTGAGAGAAAAGCTGTACTGTTGGCGTTGTGGTGCTGTACTTCACATTGTATAGGTGCAGTGGCAATCTAACTCACCTGGTGACAAACAGAGCATAGTAGCCTAACTGGTGCAAATCCTGGGAAAACGAAGCCGGAAACCCAACAACGAAGCCTTAGTGGAAGAGAACCACATTTGAAGCGTTAATTTTGAAGGTCGCTCTGGACTGGGTTGGTCCCATTTTGGTTGTGGTGTTTTGTTCTAGGAGTGTGGACAAAAGCAAATCTCGAGTTTTTGCTCCTAGAATGTGGTAGAGATACCTGTAGAAGTGATATGATATAGAGACGGATAGCTACCGGTACAAAATCGTGACAGGCAATAGAGCAGAAGCCAGTGCAAGGACAATCTAGTGACTAGTGGACTGAAATTTTGAGAATCTGGGTCCAGGGGTCCAAACATACCAAGGGTCCAAGTAATCCCATTTCCTCCTCATGACCTACGGCCTCGGGTCGCAAGGAGACTGGCCAAGAGAGCAGACCACCTATGGCGGATTATGGAAATTCAGCCTGATGGAAGCTTACCTTGTGTAGATCGTTTTGCCCAGTCCAGCAACGGGGTAGTTTGAAGGATTTTACTGGTTTCTTTAAGATGGATGTATATAAACCTTTTTCCATTGTTATTTTTTCACTATATTTCCCAGTCCTGAAACAGATTTTGCATTATTTTTGCATTTTGTGATGGCCTAGGATCGATTGCAAGGCACAATTCGGAACATCCTGACGTGTCTTTGCGTACCAACGACCTGATTCTGAAAATCAATGGAGAGGACCAGTGCCACAATTGACAATTGCTGAGTTCAGGTACATAGCTTGTTTGACGCTACTGGTGCAGGACCCTGACATTAAGCTCCTTGAACACGCAGAACCCTAGTTGCAGCAGTCCTTTACAATGTGCCATTGAGAAAAGCTCTGTTGCAGCAGTCCTTTACAATGTGCCATTGAGAAAAGCTCTATTGCGGGATACTAAGGAAGAAAACACCCAAGTGGAGGTGCTCGGCACGGTCAAATTTAAAGGCTTACGCCTAACAGCCGGGCGCCGGCCCACTTGGGTCTGTGTAGGGCTGGGTCGGGTGCACGTTAAGCTATCGGGGGCGTACTGGGCCCTGGGTGGTGCCAAGGTGGGAAACTGGTCCGCGTCGGCCGCGTCGGAGACGGGGGCCCTATATTGAGCAAAGTTAAGCTATCTGGTGCGGGCACAACTTGGGCCCATGTTGAGCCTATGTTGAGCCTATGTTGGCCTATGTTAGGCCTATGTTGGCCTATGTTGGCCTAGGTTGGGCCTATGTTGGGCCTATGTTAGGCCTATGTTGGCCCCATGTTGGCCTATGTTGGCCCTATGTTGAGCCATCTTGGAGGCTATGTTGGGCATATGTTGGCTATCTTGGGCCTATGTTGAGGATATGTTAGGCAATTTAAGTCGTCTGGAGGGCCTCTACCCACAAAATGTCGATTAAGCCTGTCCGCCCGGCGCGCATCACCGACACCACCCTTGAAAAGCACAGCGTTTTGGCATTTCTCCCTTTTCCCCGCGTCGCATTTCGACATGCGCAATAAACCCTGTAAAGCACAGTGTTTTTTATACCTCACACACACGAAACACTGTACCCGGTGGTCCCCCCGTTTTGGTGACGAGGGTCGGCGGCAGGGGGCGCGACCGTATATCCGGCCAGGGGCCCGGGAGGCCCCAAGGCCGTGTCCTTGCCGTAGGCCACCTCTCCTTTGCGTAGGAGAGAGGGACCTACTGAAGCTACCGCGTTTTACAGTGTTTTTGGCTTGTCCCATTTTTCGGCTCTTGCGACGCAAGATGGGTCAACATAGGCCCAAATAATGCTGGAAATGCGTGCCGCACCGGGGTGATTCGTCTGCATCGTGGGCGGATGCTGGGCTAACATGGGCCACATAGCCCCAACATGGGCCAACATAGCCCCCAAGATGGGCAAGATGGGCCAAGATAGCGCCAAGATGGGCCTGCGTAGCCCCCAAGATGGGCCAACGTAGCCCCAACATAGCGACAAGATGGGCTAGCATAGCTCCCAAGATGCCCAGATAGCCCCCAAGATACGCCAACATCGACCCAAGCTGGGCCAAGAAAGCAACAACAACAACCACAACAACAACCACCACCACCACCACACCACCACCACCACCAGCAACAACAACAACAACAGCAACAACAACAACAACAACAACAACAACAACAACCGCAACAACAACCACAACAACAACAACTACTACTACTACCACTACTACTACTACTACTACTACTACTACTACTACTACTACAACTACAACAACTACAACAACTACAACAACAACAACAACAAGCACAAGCGCAAGCGCAACCACAACCACAACCACAACCACAACCACAACCACAACCACAACCACAACCACCAACAACACCACCACCAGCAACAACAACAACAACGACAACGACAACAACAACAACAACAACAACAACAACAAGCCCCCGTGCCCTTTTTCCCTGCCCCCTCCCCTTTGCTTGGGCCCCTGGCCGGCTGTCGGGCGTAAGCCCTTAATAACCTTCGGTTGCCACCGAAGGCCCTCTGGGCAGGTTTAAAGGCTTACGCCTAACAGCCGGGCGCCGGCGCGTGGCCGGCGCCCGGATTTATGAGGCTTACGCCTGGCAGCCGGGCGCCGGCCTATTTGGGTTTGGGTATGCCTGGCGCGTCGTCTTCGGGACCCTAAAGAAAAGCGGGGCAGGCCGAGCCGCAGCCAGCCAAAATGCGTAACGCCGCCTGGAAAGGCAGCGGCGCCTAACGTCGCCTGGCCTGGCCCAGTTGTCTGGCAGCTGAGTCAGAGGTGTGCGTATAGGATTGCCCAAATCGGGCTGGCGTTGGCCAGTGCCAGCAGGAGGTTTCCACACCAAAAAGAGGCGAGCCGCAGCCAGCCAAAATGCTTAACGTTGCCTGGCACGTCGCCTTCGGGACCCAGGCGCACACCGAGCCGCAGCCAGCCAACATGCCTAACGTCGCCTGGCCTGGCCCAGTTGCCTGCCTGGCCCGGCCCAGTTGTGGCACCAGCGAAAACGCCTAACGTCGTCGCCTGGCCTGGCCCAGTTGCCTGGCAGCTGAGTCAGAGGTGTGCATACAAGACAACCAACAAGAGGCGAGCCGCAGCCAGCCAAAGTGCCTGACGTTGCCTGGCGCGTCGCCTTTGGGACCCTATAAAGAAAAGAGGCGCAGGCCGAGCCCCAGCCAGACAAAATGCCTCACATCGCCTGGAAAGGCAGCGTCACCTGGCCTGGCCCAATTGCCTGGCAACTGAGCCAGAGGTGTGCGTATAGGACAGCCCAAATCGGGCTGGCGTTGGCCAGTGCAAGCGGGGGGGTATCCGGCGTGGCAATTTCCAGGCGACGTTAAGCATTTTGGCTGGCTGCGGCTCGGCCTGCACCTCTTTGCTTTAGGGTCCCGAAGGCGACGTGCCAGGCAACGTCAGGCACTTTGGCTGGCTGTGGCTCGCCTCGTGTTGGTGTGGAAATAGATTGCGTCGTTTGCTACCCCGGAAACCACCCTGCTGGCACTCAACCCGATTTGCGCAGTCTTCTATACGCACACCTCTGACTCAGCTGCCAGGCAAGTGCGCCAGGCCAGGCGACCTTAGTAGGCGCCGAGGCATTCTGGCTGCGGCTCGGCCTGCGCCTCTTTTCTTGAGGGCCCCGAAGGCAACGTGCCAGGCAACGTCAGGCACTTTGGCTGGCTGCGGCTCGCCTCTTGTTGGTGTGGAAGCAGATTGCGTCGTTTGCTACCCCGAAAACCCCCCCACTCGCACTGGCCAACGCCAGCCCGATTTGGGCTGTCTTA